TATTATTATTATATTTTTAGCTTAGATTTAAGTTATAATTAATTAATACTTTATTTATATAACATAAATGACCTTATTTTTTATTAATTAAAAACTATCAAAAATCTTAAAATTAATATTTAAATTTTATAAAAAGCATTATAAAAAAAAAATAAAGTTTAATATATTTAATAATTTAAAAAAAAAGTTTATTTTATTATATTATTTATCATAATTCTTATTATTTCTTCGTTATAGCTTAGTTTTAGGCTTAATTCTTTTTTTAAAATAAAAGATTTTCGTATAAAATTATTTCTAATATTAAGAACTAAGATAATTACGCTACCCTTAACAAACTAATAGCTATCAATAAAGGCCGCGCTAGCCTCAAGTAGAATATATATTGTTTGAAAATAAGGGAGTAATCCCCTAATTAGGTGCCTTACGAGGCCCTCTCACAGAACCCTTACAGGGATCTATTCAGGACCCGTTACAGGGGTCCACAGCGCTTATAAATACAGTGCTTCTATTGCCTTCTATAATATTCGAAGGCTAGCACTACCACACTCGCTATTATAAATCAAACCTTCTATAACCTTCCACTAGGTTCGGTTTAACCCACTCTTTTACAGGGCATTACAGCGCCCTCACGCCTATAAATATAGGCCTTCGCTCACTACTAGATAGTTCTGAATTAAGTCATTCATTCACTAAGTTCTTCACCTATACCTTGCCTACCCTAAAGGGTTCCCGGATTATCGCGATTCACTTACCCTGCGCTTAGAAGAGTACTACTCTTTAATAGGTTATGAGCCCGGATTACTAATCCGACGAATCGATCTACGGAAAAACTTTTTCCCCGGTTATTGGAGCTTACTAAGCTCTTTTCGGCACTTTCGGTCACTCGATTACTAATCGACTCGACTATACGGAAGAACGCTAGGTTTATCGAACTTCGATTTACCTACCCTATAAGGTCACGCGACTTCCTTCTAAGGTACTACCTAGAAGGTGACCTTATTCCTCGATTTCTTACTGAGACCTCGAGACACGGATTTGCCTACCCTAAAGGGTTCCCGGATTATCGCGATTCACTTACCCTGCGCTTAGAAGAGTACTACTCTTTAATAATATATATATTCAATTTTTTAATCTTATTAAAGAATTTAATTAAACTTATTAGGTTAAAAAGAATAAAAGAATAAGAAGTAATATAAAGCGAATTATCTTAGTTTTAAGGTAATATTATACCTAAGGGGAGTTTAATATTATAGATTTAATTTTAATCAAATTATAGTTATTTTATAGCTATATAAAAAGTTTCATTTTTATTTATATAATTTATTTTAATTTATCATAAAGTTATTAAGCTTAGTTAAATTATCAATTTATAGTACTAAGTAGTCTCATACCGTAGCTTAGCACTATATTAACGTCTTAATTATAAATTATATAATTTCAATTTATATATAAAGAAGATTAAACTTAATAAACTTAGTTTTTACTAAAAATATTAAAAACTAAAGTTATATTAAAGTTACTAAAACTAATAATACTTAGTATAAAAATAATATTTTAAATTACTTTAATATTAAAAAATATAGAAAGAGTTTTAAGAAATATATTAAGCTAGAATAATCCTAAATACTTAAGAAATATATACTCAAGAATAAATAAATAAAAACTAAATTAATACTTAAGGAATACTAATTTTATAAATAAAAGAAATTTATATAAGAATAAGTAAATTAATAATTATTTATAATTATTATATTTATTATATTTTTATTAAAATTATAAAAGAATTTAAAAAAGAAATACTGCATCGACACCGGCCGAAGCCACGGTCGACATTTACGACAACACCTATCAGTTATTGTCCCCGAGTCACGAAAATGCAAGTGAAAATAGGAATTGCAGCATCTTTCAGCCAACACGCCATCCTGCATTTAGTTTTTATCCGGAGTTGACTCAACACATCACCAAGCGGCTATGTTCCGCCCCATGCAACTTGCGGTCGACCGCAATACATATGCAATGGCAAGTTACGGCCTTAGCGACGGCACAGAGCAGTCATCACGTGCTGGGCTTCCTCAGCTGGCATTAGTCAGCGGGGCCCAAATGATGGACGAAGCTGGCGAGTGCAAGACATGCGGCATATTCCGTGACGCCCTTTTCGAAGCTCTGTCCTTGCTGCAACGACAAGCGTCGAAACCGGCTTCAAACAATATATACCCCAGCCTGCCCGCCAAAAAACGAAGCAATGTAACGGGCGCCGAAGATCCGTGGTGCTAGGGGTGGCACTGAAGCATCTTCAGAAGGAGATACGCAGGGTGTTCCGGACAATCATTCAGGCGAGAGTGACATGGGGAGCATCTCCGGCACCGACGATGAAGAGAACATGCTCAATGTCAAGGCTCTATGCAGAGAAATGTCTAGCGAGCGCCGGCGATGGACCAAGCTGGAGGAGCGTCGCCTTCGAGCATGGAAGCAGGAAAACAAGTCGGTAACATGGATTGCTGGGAAGCTAAATCGGTCAGTGTCAGCAGTCAGGCAACAATGGCGCAAAATGGGTTGATGGCTACTGCTGTGACAATAGCGGTCACGCGTTATATGTAGATCAGCAAATAGCTGCGGACTCACTGGGAGGGACGAAGCAGCACAGCTCGAGAGTGGAAGTGTCAATAGACGGCATGGTTATCACAACCACTTCTTCACCGGGAATGCCCAGAAACCCTAGTTACCAATTCGCCCTGCGCCTGATCACCTCCATCATACTCGCCCCTTATCCATTCACCTAAAACTCCCTCAATCGCTTCGGCAGAACCTCGGCACCCCACTTCCATTGTGGCAAGACCCTCCCATCCGCGCAACCAAGGGTGTTGTCTCGATTGCTCGGACATCGCTGCGTTAGACCAGTGCCGGCTGCCAGTGGCATCCTCCACAAGAAAGGACATCATTCTCAGCGTCGAGGTTTTCGAGGGCTCTTGATTGATACTGTGATGATTTTCATGACACTCGCGACCTGGCGAGAGCCGCATCAAGTCATCCCGGGCGACCTCGATGCTTCTGCCTGTATTCCGGCGAAACCCAGGGTCAGGGTCAGAGGTGTGAAATCCTTCTTTCGTCGTTGAATACCAGAGGAAGGACTCGTATTGACGAGCACGTCTTGTCTCCAAGTACGGCCAGAGGTCTGGTTCAACTGAACGTTTCGCCACGTATCCGAATGGACGCCAGGATAAAAGCATAGGGCCTGAACCCTGTAGGTTAAAATCAAAGCGTCGACGGAGGATGTCTGCCCAAGGAATTTGGTCGGACGGTTCCATGTAGCATGCGGTAATCTCTTGATCTAAAAATGATTGCTTTGTGCCCGTCCAAGCAGAGAACATTGGATCGGGGGGAGAGAGCGAGCCGTAACCATATTTCTCGGTACAAGTTGTTGCGTATCGTCGAATCCAGTCTAGAATAGAGAGGTCGCCAAGTAAAGCGAGGGCAAGCCACCAAAGAGCAACTCGAGGTCGCCGCAAAGCAAATGCTTTTAATAGCTTCTCGAGGTTCTTGGCTTTAATAGCAGGCTCAAGAATATCGAGTACGGCGGCAAGCCACGGACTCACGAGGTTGCAATCAATGTCTGGCTGCCAAAACACACTCCAGAGAGTAGAGCCAAGCGATAGCGGGTTGAGACTGAGGGTCATAAAGTACCGTAAGTCGCGAAGATAACCGCGAATACTAGTTCCGCTGGTGTCGTCGAACCTGCTACCATCGGGGCAGGTTAATCGTGGAAAAGGAAATTGGGGGCGGAGCCCCATGAAACGATAGAAAGGGAGCGCAAGCGCTGCAAAGAACCCTGCCCTGCAGGGTGCCAGCTGGTCCCATTGCTTGTTCTGATTTCCTTCCGTTTCGAGGTTGAATAGTCGGCAGAACTCAAGGAGGAGCTCTGTCGCTTCGGTCGAGCTGGGAGGCGAGGGAGAATCTGGCACCGGCTCGGAGGTTTTGATAACAAGGTGTTCTTGGAGGGAGGCTGCCCAAGGAGGAAGCCCTTTGCCGCTGCCTGACCAACCCAACTCAGGGCTCAAAACCGCACAAAGCCACCTCACAAGCGCAGGAGACGCGCCATCCAACCGAACCAACCCAGGCTCGTCGCTTTCTCCCCGTTGTGGCCTCAGCCGGTGACGTGTGTACTTCACTTGCTGACCCTGCATTTCAAGCAGCCTGACAGAGAGGATGTACGACCAGCACAAGGTGAGGACAGCGATACTATCGGCCGTCTCCGTGCTGTCGAATAGGAGATGGGAGGCGGCCTCTGAAGACAACCGGCAATGCAGCGGACTCTCCGTTTCGAGGTTGAAATCAACACGACGACCATGAACGAGCTCTGGATCCCAGTCCTTGTCGGTATCCTCCGTGTGCGTTAGGGCTGTCTCCAGACGAGGCACACGCCAGAGTGGCCGTCCATAAATTTTTTTGCCGCGAGGGAGCTTTGCTGGTAGACCGGGGACGTCCATCAACGTGATGTATGGGTCCAGAGACGTGGTGGGCCACCGGCCGGGTAAGAAATCGTCAACCATCGACAAAATGTTTGCCCAGGTTGCTTGGCCATCGTGGAATATGCGACAAATCTCGGAGGGGGAGGGCAGAAGTAGGTCGTCTTTCTCGCCAGTGAGGTATGCGGGCGATGAAGAGGCGGTGGTTGTCGCGGATGTAGTGGAGAGTGAGCTGCTGTCGCTGTCTGGCATCATCAGCGCTTTGGCAACTGCAGGAAGTTTGGAGCAAACAGCTCTCAGCAAAATTGCTCCCTGAGCAAGCGTGCCCCAGGCGGGTATTTAAACTTGATGAGGAACGAATGCATGGGCGACAAGAACATGATGCAAGCAAGGACAGGGAAACACAAACGAAGTTACTGATTAGCTCTCTCGGGGTAATATCGGCCCGGAGAGAATGAACGGCGTGCAATGCCAGTTGAATGGTACACGCCCCACAGAGCTTACCACTGCCCTACACGATTCCACGAGCCTCTTGCCTCATTTCTTTGCACGCTTGATTTCCTTCGCGAAATACACAATCCCTTCGTACTTAAACTCGTACCCGTCGTCGGTTGCTATCCAATAATCCCCTAGTGTTCTGATGGTTTGCCCTGAAACGGTGGTGAACTGCACCTTGCCCTCTTTCGTATAGCGTGCCTTTACTTTCACAATATCCGCCTCTGCCGTGGCGTCATCAATCACAAGACTAGCCATGCCAGCTACAACGGTCTCCTCTGCCAAACGCGCCGAATTCCACTGGAGTTCATCCACCGACTCCGCTGAATAGGTGCGTCGATGTGACGAGTGTGCCGTTTGTTGATGGGCTGTGGATCGTGAGGATTCAGCCTCGGGCATTGCAATAGCACTGCTGTCCGGGAAAGTCGTTGTCTGCTCATAACTTGCTTCTGGGTCGCCGGCCTCTTCCGGGGATTGATAGTCTGGATGGCTCGACGCAAACTCGGTTGGCTCTAAATGGCGGGCAGCTTTGGCGGTACTTGGAAAGTGTTTCTCGCCACAACGGCATGGGACGTGGCATATTCTCCACCCGGCAACAGAGTCGTGTACAGTGGCCTGGCAGACAAGGACGCGTTTCTTGCACCGCTTACATTTCGAGTGGTTCGCTTTGGTGTGGCCATCCATAGCATGACCACAATAGATGCAGAACCCTTCTTCTCCGGTGCTCGTGCTCATGATCGCAAATAGAATGGTTCGCTGTATTACTCGGTGCATATATTGTAAGTAGAATCGGATCGGGATTTATAATGTATTTGCGACCCCGTCAATTTGACAGAGGACATCGCGAGCCGATCAGCTCAGTATTCAAGAGTGTGGTTTGGAGTGCATGGTATGGTCTGGACGGTGTGGTATGGTTTGGAGGAACAGTAAGTAGGCTGGGGCGGTTGAACAGGGTTATGATGTTGCATTCATGTACGTAGAACGGCGCGTGACGACAGCTTGGTGGCTGGCACCGGTCGCTACGGTCCGGCAGCGTGGTTCTCAACTCGACAGTTGAATCCACAACTGTTCGGGGGGATTCCCCCTGCAAACACAAGGCTTTTTCATGCTTGGTGTTGGCTCCTGCGATGACAGGTCGTCTTCTGTCGTCCAACCCCCTTCCCCACGAGCCACCACCCCTCCACATTTTGCGCAGAGGCACCTTATCCCGGGATATCATGGCCGATTGGCTAAAGCAGGCCCACTGATCACCTCTCTTGATGACGCTTCAGCGACACATCCCCGATTGCCCAAGAGTGCAATTGCTGGTTTTTCTCACAATGATACCATTCCCCCCAAAATATACCATTCACTTCGTTCCCCAAAACTAGTTTGCAAGTCGCCAGTATGGAAGATAGCGGGCCAGCCTCCATCACATCAGCGGATGAGTCCCAATCGGATCGCCTTACGTTACTTCTGAATCGACTTCACCAATATGAACGAGCACCGTGGGGAATAGTGGAGTCATGGCAAAAATCCCAGCATGATGCCGAAGACTCAGCAGCAAGAATATTTCTCTGCTCTGGCGGATTTCCTGCGTGGTTTGCCTATTTTCTCACCAAAAGCGCCACGGAGGTACAATACCACTTTGCCGGCAAAGCTGATTGTACCCGTTTAATCTTCGAGCTTGAAAATGAACCCGCTATATCCCGAGAGTTAGCGGCACAAGTTGCGGCCGCAATTCCCCGCGAAATCAGGACGAAAATCGAAAGTCTATATAACAAAAGGATCAAACCACTGGAGAATAGAACTATGTCACAGCACTCAAACAAAAGACGACGTAAGTAGGCCGCCGTATGATGTGTATATGCTATTCTAATATAGTTTTAGGCACAATAGCAGACAACGACTGTCCTCCCATTTCCACTGCGAACTTCCCTAGTCCGACCGCTACTTCCAGCAGCCCCAACGCGAGCCGTCTTTCTCATGATCGCCGCTCCCTCGAACAAGCGCCAGGATATAATTCTGTTGGTTGTTTTGCCGAAGATGAACATGTGCTGGTCAATGCGTCCCTTGCGGTGGCCACACGACTTCTACCCCGGGACCTCTCGAACGCGATCAGAAGAAACCCTGACCCGAGAAACGAAGGCGCCTTGGTGGCGGCAATATCGATGACATTTCCGAACGCACCATACACGGATAAGTACGGATGTTATATGGCAGTAGAAGTCACGAGTGACAAGGTTCAGCATCTTGCCCGGGAATTATTTGGAGTACGCCTTGAAACGATGGCCGGCCTCCGATATGTTTGTCTCGCTGAGAGCAGTTCGAAAATACTGGCCAACCCAAAGTTTACACTCCAAGGGTGCCAGTGCAGCATCGTTCCTTCCACGTTTGGCCCGGAGTTGTCTAATGCGATCATAACAGGTCCTAAGTATCAGGATGACGCTAGACGATGGCGTGACTCGACAGATGCTGTCTCGATGGTGGTCTCACACTCGGCCCATGATGGAGCCGTCCTCTACCTGCACCTCGGACTGTGGGAAGGGACCGAGATCAAGAAGAAGCTGTATGCTTGATATTAAATAACTCACTTGAATACGACACTAATTTCCTTCTTTCACTTTCCCGTCCTTCCCACCAAACCAAAGTTTCGTGTCCCTCTGCACGGTTCCTTCTCCGTCACAAGTGTCATATTCGGCAGTCGGCGTCTTTGTGTCGGTAGCTTTGTAAACCCGCAGAAAGCATCCCATCCAGTAAACTGTCTGTCCTGATCCTTCGATGGTGGTTGGGGATCCCTCGGCATCGCTGAAAAATTCTGCGTCCTTCGAGAGAGCCCTGATCTCGAACGACTAACAATGACGTTAGGCTAACTAATCATAATCACAGGGCAGGGGACGAACCATTCGGGATCGGATCCTATCATCCAGGACAGGATGGAAAGTTGGTAGGAGTCTTTCAGTTGTCGGCGTATCCAGGTTCGCGGGGTCGTTGATTATCTCTGGAAACCTAAGTTTTGTTCACTTGCTGTCTCCGTATTATATTGGGTGACTGATCCGATAAAGATGGCCGCTGCTAGCCCTAGGATCAAACTATTGCTGCCCGTGGTTTACGATTTTATTCGTGATCTTGCGGAGCGTAGGGAAACACGAAACGAGGGAATTCTGAGATGGATCAGGCACGAATGCAGCTTTGACGAAAAATGACCAGCGGACGTCATCTGTTCTGCGGGCGAAGTGTGTAAGGGGTTCATAAACCAACATGATTGGGCGGAAGGCGGTACGACAGTGGACGCTGCTGGTGGAGGCATGGCAGTTGAGTGATGGTCGCGAAAGATGCTGGATGCAGTGCGGCATGTGGAGCTTTGGTTGGTATGTATAGTAGTGGATATATGGTAGTGGATGTATGGTAGTGGATGTATGGTAGTGGATGTATGGTAGTGGATGTATGGTAGTGGATGTATGGTAGTGGATGTATGGTAGTGGATGTATGGTAGTGGATGTATGGTAGTGGATGTATGGTAGTGGATGTATGGTAGTGGATGTATGGTAGTGGATGTATG